GGAGGGTTGGGGAGGAGGGAGGGATGAGGAGGTAGGATGGGGAGGAGGGAAGGCTGGGGAGCAGGGGTGGGGAGGAGCCAGGGAGGTGGGGTGGGGACGCTGTGTCTGAGGTGCCAGGATCTGCTGCTGGTTTTTTCTAACGGATGAGAAAACAGAAGTGCAGAAGTAAGTAGGGGCTCAAGGGAGTGGTTGGGGCATTGACCAGCCTGCCCAGCCCCCGAGATCCTCCCTCCAGGTGTCTCCCACCGAGCACTCATGGGGTCTGTGAACTTCGGGGCTCCGGCCTCTTCTGCTATGGAAGACAACATGCTGACCAAGGGGTGCAGGGTGGTCATTCTAGCTGGAGGCCCGGAAGGGGGAGGAGCTTGGTGTTGCAGGTCCTTGGGGCCATGGGGCCAGCCTTCCATCACATATGGGTTCTGCTGGGATGTTGCTAGGACTGCCTGGACCTCCCGAGGCCTGGCCTGGCCCTGTCTCCTGGCAGCTCTGCCCTTAGGCCTTTCTGCCTGGAGCAGTGTGGCATGGTGGGAGGAGCCACACCATGTCCCCTCACAGGCCAGGCCGGGCACAGTTGGCGTTCTTCCCTTCTCCTGGTCCTATTCCAGGGTCAGTCCTCATTCCTCTTCATGTGATGGTCGCTGTGATGTGGGAATGGGTGGCAGGAAGAGCGGTCCTTGTAGCAGTGACATCATCTCCGTCCTGGTGGTGGCTCCCACCCTGACCCCCTGTGCCTGCCCCGTAGGACATGATGCTGATGTCCCTGTCCTGCATGGAGCTCCAGCTGGACCAGTGGCTGCTCACCAAAGGCAGAAGTTCTGCAGGTGTGACACCGTGCCCTGTGCTGGGGCTGCTCTCAGAGCCCCTGCAGCCGGGGTGACGGGGTGGGGAGGCCCTTGCACTCTGCAGTCTAGTGGCCGCTGAGCCCTTAAGGGCACCAGGGCTGGTTTCTCCTGTCATTGGGGTCGAAGGAAGTGTGATGTGGTTTTGGAGAGACCACTTGACACATGTGTCCTGTCATTTTCCCAGATGTTGTCATCAATGCACCTGTGTTACAGTATAGGGGGAGCCCCTTGATCCCGGAGGGGAAGCATCAGGACCAGCAGAGCCAGAGGTGGGGTTGGACAACCCCCACTCCGCCTGCTTCGCCATCCTGACACCAGCCATTCCTCCCACGGCTCCCAAGTTCTCTGCAGGGTTCAGTAACTCATTGCAGCAGCCCCACAGACCTCACAGACCATCCTCACGGTCACAGGGTTTATTACGGAAATAACAGGCCACAATGAGGGTCTGGATCAGGAATGGTCAAAGTCAGAAAGGTTCCCTGGGGCAGCAAGCCCACCGCCCGTCAGGGCAGGATAGTGCTCCCAGCTCCCCTCAGCTGTGCTGGAAAGCAGGCCTTGCCCTTGGCTAGCAAGCAGGCTGGTGCTTCTCAAGGCCTTGCTGGGCGCTCTTCGCCGCACCTGCCTCCTCTCGGCCACTCTTCCCCTCTCCTCCCGCCTGAGCCTGCCCCGTCTTGCTCTGTGCCTGGCCACACCCTCCCTCTCCCTTTGGTCACACCTTCCCTCCACCTCAGCCGTCCCTGCCCCTTCCTGGCCACGCCCTCCCCGTCCCAGCCACACCCTCCCCCTCCCAGCCACACCTGCTCCCTCTGCCCCTCTGCATGTTGCTCCACTACTAACCCGCCCGGCTCACGCCCAGCTCACGCCCAGCTCACGCCCAGCTCACGCCCAGTGTAGCAGCAGCTTTCCGCCAGTTGCTGCAGGCCCTGTTGCAGGGCTCCTCCAGGCCTCTCACTGTCTTCAGCATTACAGCCCTTGACATGGGTTACTGTTCTAGAAGATCGATTCCATGTGTCCTCTCTCTCTGCTGCTTCTGGCTTTCCTCATGCTGTCTCTCCAGAAGCCTCCCTGGGGTTGGCTGCTTATAGAAGAAACACCTTGTCAGTTTCGAGGCCTGGCCTTCCCAGCAGGACCAGGAACTGACCAATCCCCTCAGGGACAGACATATCACTCAATTTCCATAGTAATCTGGTTAATATTGGCCACTTGACAGGGCAGACTGCAGCCCAGGGTTAGAGAAAAAGCGTTGGACTATCAAGTTGTTTCCAGCTTACCCAGGAAGTGTCAGTCAACCTAGAAAAAAGAAACCATCCTTTAGGGTAAAACCAAACTGGGAGCCCCAGTCCCCTAAACAACTTGGACAAGGTAATGCCTCAGGGCTTAGGGGAAAACCTCTTATGCTGTTTGTTTGAAGTCCCGAGGCAAAGGGCTACCTAAAGGGCATCATGTGACCACGCC